AGAATTAATTATTGTGTTAACATTATCATTTCTTCTTCCTTTTATATGCTTTATACATATAGTGTAAACTCTATATTATAAAGTTTTATATTTTTTCTTATTTTAAAGGTTTATTATTATTACATTTTCACTCATAAACAGTTTTCAAAAATACTATATAATAATTTTTTATATATACAAGGTATTCCTATCAACCTCTAATCTTTGATTTACTTCCAAATAATAATGACAAAAGAAAATAACAACTATAGAATCTATTAATTTTTTTTGTATTGTTATTTAATAATTTATTCTTATAAGTGAAAATCTTACAAAAGCAAAGAAGATGATCGTTCAACTTGTTGTAGTCAGAATTTGAGAAATAAAGTAAATATTACTAAATAGTTTTCTATGTAAAAATCAGAAGCAAATATTTTTCGTTCTGCTAAAGTACCATTTGGTCATTGTCGACTTATATTAAGTATCATATTAATACTACATAGTTGATCTTTAAAAATAATAAAATAAACTTTTTTTTTAATATTCATCAAAAACATTAATTTTCGTATTAATTACTTAAATATAATATTTGATAAGTCTGTAATATTTATTATTTTCCAATGATTTATTAATTTTAAAATAATAAAAATATTAATATAATTTTATAGTTTTTTTTGTTACATTTAGAGGTGATTTATTAACTTGGATACGTTGTCTTTTTCTTATTCTATTTGAATACTGTTGCTTCCAAGAGTATTACTATTATTGTATTATTATAAGAGTATTACTATTATTACTATATATTGTACTGTATATACAATTTAAGGTTCAGTTGATACATGCTCATAACACTGATGAAAATAATGCGAACGAACTTCTTAAATATTTCAATTTTTTCTTCATAATTAAAGATAAAATTTTCATATGTATTATAATAAAATAAATTTTACTATGGGATAAATAAAAGATATGACACTGATACAATTTATATATATATTTATTTATTTATTTACGCATTAATTATAAACATATGTTTTTAATTATAAATATAAATAATAAATAGAGTATAGTATTAATTATTTCTGTTCGAAAATGTTTGATTTCCTGGCTCGAACTGCCAATGATTCGATAGCTTTATAGTAATTGCCGCTCCCCCTAGCAAATACTTGCGAAGGAGTCAAGTGGAAGGGTTGTAGAAATGCAATATATGTTTCTATAAATATGGTTTCTTAAGTTTTATCTACAATTACATTATTGATGTGTTGGATTTATGCAATGGAAAAATCACGAAGATGCAGTTGTTTGGAACTGCTCCTGCAGTGAATTGTCTACCTACACAAGATGCTCCTTGATGATGATGTTTTTGATTTTGTAAGAATTAACAACTAAGTATGCACACTCCATGTTAGGTTGTGTGTCTTACGCTATGTAATAATAGCTTTGTTAACTTGTAAGGATTAGCAATTATAAGCACAGACTTTGTTTGATCACAGTGATGCAATAATCTTGATCTGATCTTGTAATGAATAGTTCACCATCACGAATGCTCCTTGCTCATGGTGATGAATTATTGCTCATTTTCCAAGGATCTGCAATGATTGTGCACGCTCCTGGATTAGGGAGTATGTCTTGTGTCGTTTGGCGTTTTTTTTATATGAAGGAGATAGCGTCAACACCTTTTATTTGCAGCACAGAAGAATTGATGCGTCTTCCTTCTATTGTGATCTTACTTAGATAGCAATTCTGGCTTTTTGACATCCTCACCAAGCGAAAACTTCTGTCTGGTATGGTGTCCCCACCATAGAGCGCCTGTGTCGACGGAGTCTCCCATAGGACAGTGTGTGTTGTCTTCAGCGGCGTCACCGATAATAGCATCTCTGTCAACGGCGTCTTCACCAAGGCAGAGCATGTTGCTCTGAATGACTAGTGCGTGGCTGAAGCGCAAGGCTGACTAGCCTTCATGGGTGAGTAGCATGATTGACTGCGTCAATGAGTGAAAATCTACTAATGCGCCTCATGGTGCGCTTGTCTTAAATATCCACACGGCAGCTTTGTTAGCTGACAACAATGAGTGCGACTGTGGTACGAGAAACAATGGAGGTGATGGTGCACTTGTATTATTTCTGATGTACCAGCTTTTGAAATAAAATGCCGTTGAAATATTTCCCCGAAATGATATCCGTTAAGGTTTTTCTCCAAATGATAATATTCGAAAGATTCTCTGAATCTCGAACAATTTCAAATTGTAATTATTTATACTTTGCTTTTAGATTAATTTTTAATTCATTCATATATTTTTTATTACAGCTTATTTGTTTATAATTATTGATATAAAATTGAAGTAATTCTTTACTACTTAATTATTATTTATATATTTGAATAATTATGAAAATAAAGGAAAATATATTTTGATATTCTTAAGCAGTATATTAGATAGTACATTTTTTAAAAAATCTATCGCGTAAACAGCTCATTGATTTTCTTTTTATATTGGAATACTTAACAAAATTAGAAACGATTCAAACAAATCTTATGCTCTTACTCAAATAATTCATATAAAGTCTTTAAAAAAATAACTCATAATGTTTCTCAATTTACTGAAATTACTAAATTTATGACAGAATATCCATGTACTTGTGTTTCAGATGAACATTATATTGTGTAAAATTATATCTAAAATTTGATGTACTTTCCTTCTCAAAGATTGAAACTAAAAAATTAAGTCACTGTATCTCAAGTAGTGGCTATTATAATGGAAAAATTGTAATACTAACAAAAGATATAAAATTGGTTCAAAATATTATTCTATTATATTATAAACTGAAGACATCCAATAGCTTTCCTTATACCCATCTACAAAATCTCAACTAATATAAGCAATATCTTCAAAAATTTTTAAATATTATAATGAAGATATAATGGTAAAGTTAATAAAAAATAAAATTATATATTCGTTCATCGAATTTCTTCTAAAATCTTTATGCGTATTACGTACTAAGAAACATTATATAAAAAAAGAAAACAAATTCAACAAAATTTACCAATAGAAATAAATATATGAAATAATAAAAATATTACCAGAATCAATAGTGAAAAAAAGATTTTGAATTTCTGCGTAAAATGTTTAGTTACATAAAAAGACATTGTACAATGATTAAGGGATACCACAACATTATATTGGCGGTGTATAAATGTCAATTACGTATATATGTGCTTGTAAATATATGACTTCTATATTATAACCGATAACAGCATTTATTCAGGAGCTTAAGACACCTTTTCGTTTAATTAGCCACATGAACTTTGTAATTATAGTGCAATAATTTATAATAGAGTATTATAAAAAAATTAAATAATATTCCAGATTTACTATCATGTATTTTCAACAAGAAAATAACGAAGTAGTATTTGCGACTAATAAAAAAGACAGTAGTGTGGATTGTCTATCAATATTCAGACTTTCTGGATAACAGTGGAGACTGGATTGCAATGTTTAACAGATATAGATACTAAGATATTTGAGAACATATGATTTTATGGTTCCATAAAAAAAAATACAGATCGTCTGTAGGAATTGATTTGCCAAAATTAATTTACTTTCTATGTAGATTATAACAAATGATAATAAAGGAATTGGAAAAGCATATTTTTCAAATATGTTTATTTAAGTTTATTTGAATTCTTTTTTTCAGATAACAGAATTAAAATTTTTAAGGAAATTTTAGTATAGATTTTAGTATAGATAGTATAGAATAGATATTAATTTATAAATGCTAGACATTTATAAATCAACTATCCAGTTAATCAAGATATATTTAACAGACGGCAAACTTATCAAAGAAGTAAAAATTCCATGTTTTACAAATGCAATAGAATGCTTGAGCTAAAATCTCAAGTAAAGACAATTGTGAAGTGTCGATTGATGAAACTGTCAGATTATTTGGAAAAAACTATTAAGACTGTTCTAGAAAGTTTCAAAGTATTAATCATATCGATGAACTAAATGTTAAAAAACAGCAAGTAGACAAGATTCTACACTTTCAACCATGCCTGCTATTTAAACTCGCTATTTTATTATCATACGAAATAAAAAATAACTAAAATTTTGCATTAAACATACCTTATTTTGAATTATATAAATATTTTCATAATTTATTGTAGTATATGCAATGTAAAATTAATTTATAATTCTCAACATTTGTAAATATCAATAAAATGAAAGTATACGTATAATGATAATTTCATACAACGAATATAGATAGTTTGACTTTATAAAGCATGCGTATTAGAAGTCTAGGCTTATTGGCTCTTTTAATTGATGGAATTTTAATGGAAATATGAGTAAGTACAAATAATAACAATATTAAAATAATTTTTTCTTATTTAAAATTTAGCATGAAAAAAAGATATATATATATTTGAATAAATATATATATTGGAATGCATCTGATTTATAATTTATTTATATCTTCAAATATGAATTTAATTAATATTTTTATTTGTGATTAGTTATATTTTAAATGAAGTATTTTAAGTATAATAAATTTTTTTTTAATCTGAGTAAATAACAAAAGACTTGTTACATGTCTTTAAATATTACAATACCAATAATATTATGGATACATATAGATATCTGGTCTATATCTAGATAGAGAGTCTGGTTTTTATACTGAATCGGCATTGAAAACCAATGAACTTAACTTGAAATGCGCATGCTTGAAAAAGCTGCGCTTATCTACCTTCGTAGTTCCATATTTCACTACAGTAAAACAATCTAATAGGAAACGTGTATTAAAAAATTTTGAAATACTGTATCTGATTTCATATATTTGTTATTCTAAATTGTTTTAATTTTAAGATACTAAATGTAAATTAATTTTGACTCATTTAATAATATTATTTCATCTAGTATTATGATTTTATAAATAATATTTATTATGTGTACAGGTGTATATATCGTGATACAACTTAACCCGACAGTTGGATTAACATCTATATCTATATAATAATTAAAGGTTTATACACTTCATTAAAATTTTTATGAATTAAACGAAAACAACGAAAAGTAATGCAATTAGTTGTGTTAACTGAAATTGTAGTTTTTTAAAATAAATGTTTGAACATCATAATAACCAAAGGTGGTAAACAATATTTTACTTTATTAATTTATTTACTTTATTTATTTTACTTTATTTTATGTATTATTGCCTTCTAATTATATTTTTTGTATCTGCAAAAATTAATAAAAATTATTTTAATATTTTATTATCAAACACTCACATTTAAAGTTTTTAATGTTAATAAAATTTATCTGCGCAATCAATATTCAAAATTAAAAAAATTATAATTCAATTATTTGTGCTGTGCACACTTTATTTAAAATTATTTTCTAATTTATATTTAATAATTATTAAATGATGTTAAATTTAATATTTTGTAAACAAAGTATTGTGACGTTTATTACAAAACATTATTATATTTATTATTTATTATTTTCATGTTTAAAAATATATTAGTTATTATTTGAAATACATAATAACATAAAATGTTAATATGTGTTTTTTCTATCGTTTTAAATATTTTATAGAAATTAATTTTAAAATATTTAACATCTTAATTTTTATTAAATTAATATCTAAATAAATACTTAGATCCTTTATTTAAAATATAAAATAAAAATTATTTTATAGATTTATTATAATCAATTCAAACAAAAGATTTATATAAACCACTAAAATAGATTTTATATGCAATTTCATTTAATTATAAAATTATAAGCAAATGAACTCAAAGTAATATAAAGGAGTTTATTCCTATATAAGATAATTTAATTTATTGTAATTTTATTTTAATTATTCTTTTAAATTTGGAAAAATTTATTGATATATATACATAAATTATAATTTTTAATCGCTAATAATTTATAAGTTAAATATGAACTCTATTTTGTATTATAAAAAAAGCAATAAATTAATTATGAATGTTTAATATTTAAAATATATTAATATTTAAATTTTTATTTATAAAATAATATTTCATTATACAAATAATAAAATTACAATGCATACCTTATAACCATATCAAAAAAAGGAAAAATATTTCATCATGAATTTTACTTTATAACCAATGAAATGTTAATAAGAATTTTACTAGGTCTTCCATTGAATATCATTTTATATATTTTTTAAATATTTTATGTTACTTACATTTTTCCTTTCTTCTTGACTAATTTTAAATTGAATTGATTTTATGAATTTGTTGAACTTATTGGGATTACTAATGATAAACAATTAAAATCTTGATTAAAATATCTATCCTTTAAAAAATTCTAATTCTTGAATTTCTATAATCCTTTTTACATGAATAGTTATACATTTAATTATTTATTATTGTAGTTTAAACATTGAAATAAATACTTTTCATTTAAATGTCATCAATTGTATATACTTTGTTGTATTTGTAGCAGAGACAAATTGTCACCGATATTACCTTCTAATACTTTATATTTTTCATTGACATAAAAAAAATAACATCAATATGCATTTACAATTTATTTATAAAAAATATATTTTTATTTTCAAGTGAGATATTACAGTTCTAGCAATTCATATACTATTTACAATTTCAGTAACAATGCTTAAAGGAGAAGAGTATAAAGTTTCTTGCCTTCTTTAGTTACAAAGTTACAGGAAGAAGTAAAAATTAGGTTTTCCCATAAATGAAAAATAGTAACAAATATTGTCTCAAAATCATAATCATAATGAGAATACTGAGGGTTATATATTACCTATATAATTATACATATATGTTTTTCTATGTCAAAATTTTTGGATATTGTCAATAAATTTATAAATTTATAATTATATTTGTATAAATTGATATAATGTATAATTTTTTAGTCTGAATTATAAATTGATTTCATTGTCTCTATCCTTTATATTTGCTATCCTTATGAAATTATGTAAATAGTTTTAAATTTTATACATTATGTTTGTTATCCAAAATATGAATAGCTTTTATAATGTTTTGTTTTTTCCCCATTATTCATAAAATGATCTCATTGTAAAAAAAATTTATCCAAACTAAATTGTATCAAAGTGATTAAAGTATTCTTTAAAGTGATACATGTAAAGATACATGTAATGTTTTTTTAATCTCTTATGATGTTCCTTCCAATTCTTTTATTTTATCTTTATTATGTACTGTATATCTTTTAAATTTCACCAAATTGGATATAATTTTCAGAATTTGGATTCAGAATTATTTGTATATTATTATATATATAATTGTGTAATTAAAATTGAACATACTTTCAAATCTACCGAAATATATTTACTAATCATTTTATCATGATATTATAATAACATGACTTAAAATATAATTCTCAATACACTATTTTGATTTTTAATCATTTTAATATTAGAATTTATTTGTTATTTTCTAGGTATTCATTAAAAATAAATTATGGCAGAAGATTTGGACGTTGAGGCTATGTTAGAAGCACCTTATAAAAAGGGGGTAAGATACGTTTTATACCTTTAATTCATTTTATTTTCTTATTAAAATATCGTACTAGTAAAACATCAAAATTCATGACAACTACTTTATGCAAAATGAACATTACAAATTATTTCATTTTGTTGGACTATTCATCTTAAATTATAATATAATTTAATAAGTGATAATAAAGTTATGTGAGTCTTAAAATTAAATTTATTAAGTTTTAAAACTATGTGCTTACTATATTTCTAAATATAAGTACAATTAAATAGCTGAGAACTTCATATTTCAAAGAATGTTTTTGTAGTACTAATCAGTTTAGGACTTATTTTAATTAATATTATATATTATGAAAACAGTTTTTCAAGCTCATTTATAAAAGAATTTAATTAATTCCTTGCACTGACTAGAACTCTAAAAAGTAGATTTTTTATTAAACTTTTTATTTGTTTAAAAGATGAATCAGTTTCTTTACATTTGAATAACAAATCATAGATTTTAATACAAAAAAATACATTACCTTTTTAAAAAAAATTGATTCATTGACAATATTATGTTATTATTACAATAGTAATCCAAAACAGTATATTTTTAAATTGTGACAATGAAATTTTACAAACAAGAATTAGTACTGATATATACAAATTTTTTACCAATATCTTTTTCACCTACTTGATGTAATTGTTTTTTTATTGATTAGTATTCTCATCTTGTAATAATAAAATATATTTTTTTCCTATTTCATTTATTTAATAAATTATATAAATATAATGAATAAATACATTTTAAATGTTACTTATTAGGGTTAAATAATTACAAAACTGTGTTCACAGAGAAAAACACTTACTTGCTATATAAAAATACATATCCTTTGGTATTTAAATTTTTTTGCTAATTACAAACTAATAAAACTAGTTTTAGTTTTGATAACTTAATTAAAACTCTTGAATAAATTAATTTATTTCTCACTTTTAAACTTCCAAGTTTAATTTTAAATTTCTATCTATCTGTTCGCGATTAATGCAGTCCCATGAATTTCAAACAAAAGAAAGGTCATACGCGCTGTCCGGCGTACAGCATGTGCGCCTAGACTGGTACGCACGTGCGGACCGGCACGCGCACTCGAGTGAATGTTTACAAACAAAACTCGGCAAGTCCGAGGAAGTTTACGACCCGAAATATAATATACTATAAGATCACCCAAGGGTATTACTCCTACTTTTCTCTCGTCGAACATTCTTGAAGGTTCTAGATTTTTCCTTCGACGCCTCGTGTAAGAATTAGTGCAACAACGACGATGCCTTGTTGCCAGCTAAGTGAGCCGCCGCGTGGCTATATAAGGGACGCACGCGGCGCGCCTCCCTCTCTTGCTGAAAATCATCTCTTGCCGTACCACCCTCGCTCAACTGCGCTTGCGGCTAACATCTTGCCGTGACCCGACCGCAGTGACCGACCATAGTGAACCAATTCATCATTTTCCAGTAGAAGTCATGGTACACGGGTCTCAATCTGCCCTCAGCAGGACCGCCATGGAACGGTCGGTATTTTCAGCAGAGCCGCCACGGAACGATCAAGCCTTCGATTCGTGTGCGTATTCAAAGGGCTCATTTGTAATATCACTTCGCGCTCACGCAAGCATAACTGCCGCTCAGTGTTTTTGTATACTGTGAAGACGACGCGTGGCCATATATTCGGCAGTATAGTTCAGAATACACGCATGCATAAGAACAAGAAATCGGCAGATTAGATAGTGATTACAGTGAAGTCAATGGAATAGTAATCAAAGGGGACATCAATTATGCAGCAGTAATACACCTTGCCTGTAGTTTACAAGGAACATCTTTTTACATATAAATAAATTAGTTAGTCACACCTCGCACACAACAAGTCGGGCACACTTACGCTATTTCGATGAGCACTTCAGAACCGTAAAGGCCCGCTAGCAGAGAGAGGGCAACCTTACGCTCTTTCGAAGAACACTTCGGACCATTCAGGGTCTCTAC